GGATTTTCCGCGTCCTGGCAAGAACTGGGACAGTTCATCACCCTTATTCTTAAAGAAAATTCCTCTGTGGAGATCTCTCTATTACTCTCCCACTCAAGATTCCGCTGTCTATTGATATTGTCTCTATTCAGCCCCGCTGTTATGGAAATATTTGCCAATGGCTACCCAGCATCTTGTTTTAATAAAATTCAAGTTAACTCTGCTTGGAGTGGATTCTAAAAAAACAAAAACAACAACAAAAAAATTCAAGTTAGATGGGAGGCAGCCCTGCCTCCTGATAAGGAGTCCAAAGAGACAGATATTCCCTGTTTCTACTATATTGTAGCCAACTAGGTATTTCCTGCCTGGGATTTTGAACTTTGAAGAGTAACACAAGAACACAGTGTCAGTTGAGACTTTTGTATGGTTGGCTATATCACAGTGGAGGAATATAGTGGTAGCAACAATATCCGATGAGCAGCAGAGTTAGCAGCCAAGCTGGGTCATGTTCCATGGGGCAGGGGCCAGTAACTAGGCCACTGAATGTCCAGCCAGAAAGTGATGGCATCCTGAGCACAATGTTCCTGTAGTTAACATCCTAGCCAGGCCTTACTGTGCTTTCCCAGCCTTCCTGGTGCTTCTTTGAGTTCTTCAAATACCCTCCAGAAAATCTCTTTTCTGTTTGAGGTACCGTAGATCATTTTTCTATCATTTGGCAACCAAGAACTCTAACTAAAGTATCTATTAACTTGGTCAATATGGTCTTTTTTTATGATATCTCCCTGACAAAATATAAAAACTGAATTTTTTGTTCACAATTGTATCAATAGTGCCTAGCACAGTGTCCAACACTTAACAGGTACTCAATAAATACTTTTAAATGAACCAAATGAGGCGCGAGGTGGCTCAACCTGTAATCCTAGCACTCTGGGAGGGCTGAGGGTGGGCGATTGCTCGAGTCAGGAGTTCGAAACCAACCTGAGCAAAGAGTGAGACCCGTCTCTACTATAAATGGAAAGAAATTAAATTGCGCAACTAAAAATATATACGAAAATTAGCCAGGCACGGTGGTGCATGCCTTGTAGTCCCAGCTACTCAGGAGGCTGAGGGCAGGAGGATCGCTTGAGCCCAGGAGTTTGAGGTTGCTGTAAGCCAGGCTGATGCCTCGGCACTCACTCTAGCCTGGGCAACAAAGCGAGACTCTGTCTCCAAAAAAAAAAAAATTAAAAAAAATAAAATGAACAAATGAATGTGAAATCACTAAGGTTACAACAATCTGCAGGGGGTTCACTGCTTTATAAGGTATCTATTTATCTCCATTTAGCATCAAAGAAGTAAACCAGTAACAGAAGAATCCCTATTCCTGTCCTAATTTAAAACCTACTGCTG